CTGAGGAAATTTATGGAGCCGTATATCCAGATCTATCTCGACAACATCAATGCTAGTCGTCAACGTAGTATTAAGGACTTCTTCGCCCGCAACCCACCACAACCACAGCCAGCCCAAGTCAGTGATAGTGAAAGTGACGATATGGACTTTGAGGGGTTTGTCTGGGAGGCCCTGCAAACCTCTGTGAGTAGTGAAAGTGAAAGTGATTCACCGGAGGGCAACTAATCTGCCCTCTGCCTCGGAACCAGCTGCCATCCACGTGTGCCGACCCAACTTTTCTACTAACTTAAGTGTTAAAAAACCTAATATAAAAAATATTGATAGTTATCTTAATTATTAATTATATATGCATACCATCATAAAATTAAGATGTTATTTTTACTACAACGTACGTATTGTGTCGGAAAAAGTGGAGTTTGGGGGTCCGCCCAGTCTCTATTTCAATTAATCCCATATGTTCTGTTATTTCATTTACATGTTTCTCATTTTACGCGGGCCTCCACAGGTTCAATTGACCGCGTAAATGCAGATCCCACTGTATATATATATATATATATATATATATATATATATATATATATATATGTGTGTGTGTGTGTGTGTGTGTGTGTATTACCTCGGGTATATTGAAACATAGTTAAAACATAACCCTCCCCCCGCCGGTACTTTAAAACTAGGTCTAAATTACCGGGGGGGAAAGCTTGTGGGGTTTCGAGATATTGGTTCACACTCAGGATGGGATGGAGAAAGGAAACTCACAATGTGCTCACTGTATACATATTGTATTGGATGTACAATCCAGCTTGGTGCTGGGAAGGCAGCATGGTTACAAGCGTTAAATAGAGAGAGCTGGTTGGTGAGGGTGCTCAGAGGAGGACTAGCTTGTGGGTCGCCATGGTCGCCGGCGGGAGCGATGGCCGCCAGGCAGGAGCGGAGGAGCAGGAAGTGTTGCTTGAAGACTGGCTGTAGGTAGAAAGAGCGGTCACCACGAGGTATGTGTCGCCATGGTCGCCGGCTGGAGCGAGGGCCGCCAGGCAGGAGTGGAGGAGGAGGTGATACTTGAAGACTGGCTGTAATTAGAAAGAGGTAGGTCACCACGAGGTCAGGTCTTATATAGCGGGGGTAGGCGTGGCTTAATAGTTGACCTCAGTCGTGTAAGGCGGCGCTGGTTGCTGACCTAGACACGAGGGCAGGCTGGTGAAATTCGCGGGGTCGGCTACTCAGCGACAAAGCGTTTGTAGGGGAGGAATCCACTACAAGCTGACATTGTTGACCGTATCAGATGCAGTTTTCTTCTGGGATAGTTGACGCTACAGGTCCACATTTCATACTGCAACGCCTCAGCAAAATTATCGATGTTGTAGATGTCATTTACTTGCCATTTTTTCCTCCATTCAGCAACTGGATCTTTTCTCACATTTCCACCACAACTTGTTTTTTTTACAAGTGACACGCTTCGTATACATGAACTCATTGTTGCAGATTCTTGAAGCACGCTTACTGTATTACTGTCAATAATTTTCATGACAGTTGACGTTATAAAAAATAAAATAAAAATCATCCCTAACGGTGCCGAGCTAAGAGCTCTCCACTATATTTGTTCTGCTCTTATTCACATTTATGAATAATAATATTAACGAATATTATATAATGTTTAAAATTATGTCAGATTTATGTCTTATTGTATTAGACAAATATTGTACAGTTACCCAAATATCATTCTAGTTATCAAGAATTTAACAAAAGAACCCACAGTTAGTTGCGTTACAATTAACAAATTATTTAAGAAAATTTCAAAATTTACTAACAGTAAATAATGCATAATCAGTTCCTCTGTGATATGGACATCAAGACGGTTTTACCTAGTTGTCGCTCTTGCCACATCACAATTCTCAAATTACCAGCTTACCACAAGTGGCCGTTACTGGAACAGTATGATCCAATACAACAGTTCCCTTAAACAACTTGTATTATCATACACATTGCACGAAAAAAATTTATAATTTTCCTTGTAGATGCCGATGCATGTGTAAAATTAGTCATTACAAATAGGCTAACAAATTATACCTCCATAAAGTATACTGTTGTCTGTGTTTGGTCCCTCACGTTCTCTTATGGTCTGGAACTCTTGAACAGAGTTGCCAACTTAGCGACTTTGTAGCTAGATCTAGAGCTTTTGGTTTTTTTCTAGCGACATTTTAGAGCGATTTGCGACTTGTCGCAAATCTAGAGATATCCACAGAAATCTAGCGACTTTCTGGATACTTTTGGACTGTCCATGAAAACTCAGTTTTCCTAATTTCGAGCCATAATATATAGCAACGGGGTTACAGGGACAATAAATAATAAGAAAAGTTTAATACATTTGAACGGGTCGTGGTACAGAAGGAAGGACACGTCTATTTCCTGATCACTTGATGTCAGCCCGTCCATGGCTAATGTTGCCGTGTCGTCATTTATTTGTCTATTACCTTCGCCTTTGTAGCACCTGGGTAACTTACCTCTTTGTCAGATATGCAATATGAATTTCATTAATACGCTAAATTTTAAAGAATATTAGCAAAACATCTTATAGAATTAATTCTATCAAGCCTGCGTGGTTCCAAACTTCTCATCCGCCTCCACCATGGGTGACCCATAGACTTGTGGGGTATGAGATGTTTGGTTCACACTCAGGATGGGATGGAGAAAGGAAACTCACAATGTGCTCTCTATATACATGTTGTATTGGATGTACAATGCAGCTTGGTGCTGGGAAGGCAGCATGGTTACAAGCGTTGAGTAGAGAGAGCTGGTTGGTGAGGACGCTCAGAGAAGGACAGCTTGTGGGTCGCCATGCTCGCCAGCGGGAGAGAGGACCGCCAGGCAGGCGGAGGAGGAGGAGGTGTTGCTGGCTGCGGCTGTAGGTAGAAAGAGAGGCAGATCACCACGAGGTCAGGTCTTAAATAGCGGGGGTAGGCGTGGCTTAGCAGTTGACCCCCGCTCCGTGGTGTATGGCGGCGCTGGTTGACCTAGACCACGAGGCATACACTGGGGAATTGGTGGGGTCGGCTAGGCAGCGACAAACAGCGTTTGTAGGGGAGAATTCCACTACAATACTCCCCCTTCCCTCCAGGCTGTGTAGGAGACTTGTTGTCTGCAGGGTTGCATAGCACATGTGAGGCAGAACGGGCGGTGCGTGCCTCATGTGAGACAACGGCGATGGCGTGGATGAGCCGGTCGCTGGGGACAACTGTCTAGATACACAATATCTGTGGGAGTAGAGAGGGAGAATAAGGGTGTGTGGAGGCGATGAATGTTGTGCTTCCCTCACGGCAGGTACAGAGTCGTCAGATGCGCCTGCTGGGGTGTGTGGGCCTGGGTCAGGAGCAGGGGCTGCGTCAGCAGAAGCGGATGAGGGCTCGTGACAGCAGCTGGGTCCACGACAGCAGCAGGGTGCAGGACATTAGCAGGGAGTACCTGAGGGAGAAAAGAGGGGTGTGTGGGTCCGCACTCAGGAACAGAGGCCGCATCAGGGGCGGCAGGGGTTACTGCTGGGCCGGGGTCGGCGTCTGAGGCAGGACGGGTGTGCTGGGGTCGGTAGGACGTGGTGCTTGGGGGCAGGAAAAGGAGCTGGTGTCTGCTAGGAGAAACAGTGCTGCTCTAGGGTGTCTAACCTGTGGTGTAGAGACAGTAGTTGCAGAGCCGATGAGAGCTGCTTCTGCGTGGATAAGCCAGTCTTCCATGTTGCTTGAAGACTGGGAGCGTGATCAGTTTCTCCTCCATCCTGTGTGAGTGCGAATCTCCGGGAGTCACCATTTGTGGGGTATGAGATTGTTTGGTTCACACTCAGGATGGGATGGAGAAAGGAAACTCACAATGTGCTCTCTATATACATGTTGTATTGGATGTACAATGCAGCTTGGTGCTGGGAAGGCAGCATGGTTACAAGCGTGATGTAGAGAGAGCTGGTTGGTGAGGACGCTCAGAGAAGGACAGCTTGTGGGTCGCCATGCTCGCCAGCGGGAGAGAGGACCGCCAGAGCAGCCGCCAGGCAGGAGGAGGAGGTGTTGCTGGCTGCGGCTGTAGGTAGAAAGAGAGGCAGATCACCACGAGGTCAGGTCTTAAATAGCGGGGGTAGGCGTGGCTTAGCAGTTGACCCCCGCTCCGTGGTGTATGGCGGCGCTGGTTGACCTAGACCACGAGGCATACACTGGGGAATTGGTGGGGTCGGCTAGGCAGCGACAAACAGCGTTTGTAGGGGAGAATTCCACTACAGACTCCATACAGTTGCCCCGACACTGTTCACCCGCTTTGCCAAAAACCATCAAGGAAAGTTTCCGCTTGTTTGCATGCTGTTTATTAATTTGAACCCTTCATAGTCCCAATAGAAAAAGGGTAAGCCACAGTATTCGCAGCGATTTAGGAAGGAATGGCTCAGAGATGACATACAAAATTGGCTTCTGGAGGTGCCAGGAGATAATAAAAAAGGATTTTGTAAATTTTGCAAGTGTGCTTTGTCTGCTAAGTTGTGCGACATTGAAAAACACAAAAACACTAAAAAACACAAGAAAGCAGAATAGCCGTTTAGTGCAGAAAGACAGACAATTTTACCATTCATGAAACTTGGTGAAGCAAAAAAAGTGGAGGGAACTCTGGCCATGTTTGTAGCTGAACATTGTTCTATTCGTGTGGAAGAACACTTAAGTGAAGTGTGTAAAGTATGTTTTAGTGACAGCAAGGCAGGTAGTGAACTCAAGTTAAAAAGATCAAAGTGTTCTGGGATAATATGCAATATTCTTGCGCCACATTTCACAGAAAATCTGAAAAATTTTATTTTTACATAATGCATTTTATTTATACTCCGTCCATTATAGTCGGCATTATGAAAATATTATTTGCATCAAATTACTGAAGGGGGGGAATAATAGCTAGCGACTTTCCATGGAAGATTTAGCGACATTTAGCTGCTTTTAGGTACCAGCCTAGCGATATTTGAAAACCCGAGTTGGCAACCCTGTCTGGAACTCTTGATGTAAACAAACACTTGAGTGGCAACAGTGGGGCGGGGAGGTCTGTAGGTCCGTCCGTGTGGCAGCTGGCATGAGGTACGTGATTAGTGGTTCATATTGGTCCATTTGATGACGTTTTCCTCGGCATTTTTTTTTTACATAGCTACTCAAGTATATACAGTGCAGTAAAAGGTTAGGTCAAGGTTTACGAAAGTGTTATCACCCGAAGAAAATGTGCGATTTGGTTTATTTATTAGGTCTAGTTCTAGTGGGTTATATGCATTATTATTTCCATTTATGTGTTTAATATTATGCTAATAGCGTGTACAAAAAATATAAACCAAATCGCACTAAGCAAAATAACCTAGGAAACCCTAACCTAACCTCACTCAACTCTAATCTAAACCTTACTCAACCTTACTCAACCTAATCTAACCTAACCTTATCATAAACAAAAGAACCTAGAACACTGTACCTTACTATTGTCACGAAGGAAAAAATCTTAAACGACTTACCTTATACGCTGATTAATTTTACGGCGTCTGTGAACAAATGCGTAGGAGCCGGTCCGACTAATTACCCAAATGTACCCAAATGTAGCCGCAATGAAGTCAAAAGATGGTCCTACATGAATAAATCGGACTGCCAATCACTTCTCGACTAGTATTTGGTGTCACGAAGTCACAAAAAATTGGTAAACTTAATTTAAACTGAGTTAATAGATCGCGTGCTTGCACCGAGGGAGTGAGTAATTACCCAAATGTACCCAAATGTAGTCACAATAAAGTCAAATGATGGTCCTACAAGCGTAAATCGGGCTGTGAATCACTTCTCAATTTTTATTTAGTGTCATAAAGTCACAAAAAATTGGTAAACTTAATTTAATCAGAGTTGTGTTAGGTTAGGTTAGGTACATGCACTCTATCTATTAACTCAGATTAAATTAAGTTTACCAATTTTTTGTGACTTCGTGACACCAAATACTAGTCGAGAAGTGATTGGCAGTCCGATTTATTCATGTAGGACCATCTTTTGACTTCATTGCGGCTACATTTGGGTAATTAGTCGGCCCCCGTAGGAGCGCCTATTACATTAAACCTGGTATTGGTTTTTGGGGTGAAATTCCAATCATGCACCGGCATTTCTCTCGCTGTTATTAATGTTTTTTCGTAATGTTTAGACAATTCTAAGACCTTTTTCTTTTATGATATTTCCGCCGGAAATTAAGGATAACTGAGATATTAATTTTTCAATACTATTAGATTTGATCAGTCACAAGTGTCGCCATTTGCTGTTTACGTCTCAGAGAGAAGGTCTGACCACCCATCATGCAGTACTCCTGGCTTCTTAAGTGTCTACAGCGCATGTGTGTGGGGGGGGGGGGTTCTTTTTGGCTATAGCGATAGGAGACTTGTAATTGGGCAAGAGTTTTTGTCTTAGCCAATGAACAATGCGTCGGGAGCGGAGATTTGATTTTTCAGTACCAGAATAACCAAATATGGTTGAACAGGTGGAAAGAGCTGTGCCGACATTGTGATAGATTATTTTTATGTCAATTGCAGAGTTTCATGAGAAAAATAGTGTTATGTTAGGTTAGGTTTTGTTAGTTGGTTGGTATTTTATTTATGTGATTTACTCGAAAAAAATACATTTTCGTTAAGACCATGGTCACAAATAAGAGCTCACAAACGAGAATCCTCAAGAACAAGGCGTGATAAATTGCAATAAGAATAATCACAACCACCGCAGGCCAACATTATGTAAACGAGACTCGAACACGTAATATTCACGTCATGTACCCGGGGGAACCGTATAAGTGGGTGGACACACAGTTCATAGAGAATTGTGACGAATGTTAACGGCATAGAAAACCATGACGAGAATCCAATCAGTCTAAAAGATTGTGTAAAAGTAGAAATATGGCACAATTACATCATTTATTGCTTGATAATAAAAAAGGAAGAGATAAACTATAGTTGATAGAAAGAAAATAGAGGATGCATTTAATAAATAAACTAAAGAAAAATAAAGTGGTATTTACGTAATTGTAATCTTAATAAAAGATGCGTAATTATTTTATTGAAAGGATCAGTAATAATGAAACAAAATTTATACAATTGGAGAGGAAGCGAGCAATGGCGGCGGGACGGGAATTGTGAAACGAATGGTCTTAGGGTAAGAAAATGATTTTTGGTGTTGGAAATGCACCTAGATGCGTAATTTTAATGCCATAACAGGAGTGTTCGCCATGTGTTCACCCTGTAATTTCCCTCTTCATTCATGCCCTGCCCACTAACAAGGAATGTAAGATCGTAGGATAGAGTAAATGAAAAAATTGCCAAAAAAAAATAAGTTATAATAGGAAGTTGCTGTTTCTTTTAATATTCTTACAATCATCAAAACCATAAGAACTGTATAGCAAAAATAAAGAAAATCAACAAACAACTTCTAATGATAACAGTTTCGTAAACATTTTCCTTTTTTTTTAATTTGTTCATTTGCCCATAAAATGAAGGTCAGGTTTGAATAAAACATACCTAAATACCTGTACAAAAAACTATTCCCAACAAAAAGCCATAACCTTTCAACTAAGGTTAAGTTTAGTTTAGAGATAACCACTTTTTAACACATTTGCCAAAACTACAGCAGTGTCCACTATAAAACTCAGTTCAATTGCAGCATTTTAAAAATCTTTTTCGATGAAAATTGGCAGTGGGTCAGTCATCAATAATTACCGAGGGAAATTGTAGGGTAAAACACTGAAAAACTGATCATTTGACACTAAAATTACATTTCTACGCATGTTGTCTGCACTTTTTGTTTACAATTGACCCACTCAGTCCAAGCGTACTCTCGTGTCCACAAAATTTTAAAATTGTACCATGACACTTCAACAAAACTGCTTTCATTGGTACCAGATATCCAAATGAGTACTTTTTGTTTAATATGGTGGGGGTCCATAGTCCCCCAGCTAGGAAGTTAATTAATGTTAGGCAGGTTTCTTTGGTTGGTTAGGTCAGGTTTTATTAGGTTCTAGTAAATTTTGCCTCTTTTAAAATACTTATTATATCATAAGAACATCTATGGAAAAGATGAATTAAATTGATTAACTCCTTCTGGTGGCAGCAGTGTTCTCATACAACACCGCTGCTTCTAGCGTACCGTATATCTCGGCCCACAAGGCGATGGGGTGCATAAGATGACCCCCAAAATTTTCATTTAAAAAGTTGGTTTTGAGCTCTATTCGCTAAGACTACCCCAAATGTGACACTTACCATTGGGAGCTTACTGACCCAGTAGTCCTTTACCAACCGTCCCATTGACCAGTGCTGTTTACACATCCTTGGTTATTTAAAATAAGGCCAATTCACTTCAAGTAATGGCATCAAATGTTACCGACTGGTGTAGTGTAAACACTAGTGATGTCACTTAAGCGTCTGTTATTTAACTGGAACTAATGTTGGTGTCAAGTAAAAAATTTTCCATTAGTCATACGTATCTTTACGTCCGTCCGAACAACGTCCGATTGCATATACGTCCGTGGCCCATAAAAATAATAAGAAAATAATGGGGATAAAAAAAAAACATTCAGACAACGGGACGTAGCGGACGTAAGTGGCCTTAGAGCGGGCACGCTCACGCATGCATCACGTGTTCTTAACCAAAATATATTGTGCTGCCAGGCGTATGATGATACAGTACAGCAACTATATTTCCATAATATGTTTTGATAGATATAAGAAATGCCTATGTTACTGGTTTGTTTTTTGGCTATTGTAGTGTTCAGTACAGTACAGTACTGTACTTTTAATTTGATTTCCTTACTTACGAAATAAAAAGTTTACAAACTGTATAACAGTGTATGCGTGGTTTTGCCTCATCGGCATTGTAGACATTATGTTATTTTATTAGCCTTCTTAACCTCTGTGTTTCATTAGTTGTGAATGTTATCTAGTGAATTTAGTCAATATTGTACAGTACAAGTACTGTACACTGCAATATTCCACATACACGTAAGTATAAATACAAAGTTCACAATGTGATGTTCGGACAAAGTCCAAGTCAGTTAAAGTCACGTTTCCAAGAACGTATCTAGGACGTTAAGCGACGCATGACTGTACTTGAAATGGATTTACTGATTTATTTGTTTATTTATTTATTTATAATATACTGCAATATATTAAACACACTGCAAGTATTTTCTTTAATTTATAAGATTACCGGTATATTGAAATAATAAAAATGTATTATAAACCTGTCTAACATACCGTAAAATAACGACATACCCTGGTAATAAACGCAGCTATCATCACGCACCGCCCGCCATTTGCCAGTGACGAGACAAAATAGGGAGTGGTTTTTTTTTTTACATCCAGCGCTCGCTGTCATTACGCACTTTTAGGGGTCATTTTCCCGCTTGCCTTTGTGTCCGAGTTGGCCAATAATGCATTTCTTTACTGATCATAATACATATTTCCCATAAATAATTCATTTAGACTTCATTTTTTTTGCATTACTCTTCATAAGAAGTTCTCAGCGACACACCCACGCAGACTGTTTTTTTGCATTACTCTTCATAAGAAGTTCTCAGCGACACACCCACGCAGACTGTCGTCAGGCTTTACCTTGGGAGACCACGTAGGTTTTACAAATAATTATCGGAATAATAATTCCACAGATGAAAAAAAGATCAAAAGTGAGAAACAATATACTGTATGTACAGTATGTTGTGTTGTCAAAGTAAGAGAAACAATTGAAACTCTGCAATTGTGTGTAAATGAGGCAGAAAGTCAGATCAGTAACCTGGGACTTGGTCACAATTTTCGTGATGCCATATGGCAGCAGGGTCTACCATTAGACAATACATTATGCTTTCAATACCTGTATCTTCCCAGGCGGTAATACTGTACCTCTCTGTTTGGTAGCTGCCTACTACCTACACAACTTTTAGTAATATTTCTTTGATACAAAATGATAAATTAGACAAACAATGAAAATAAACAAACAAAATTTAATTACCAAGACGCTTCTCATTGGCTGCTGTAAGAGGGGGAGATAGGGCTATTTTTAGCCCGTCATTGTGTCCGGAGTGGCCAGTAATGCATACCGGTATATTTACTGACCATAATACTTATCTCCTATAAATAATTCATTTAAAATTTATTTTTTTACAAAGAATATTCAGTAAATGACTGCGATAATTCTTGAAACTACCGACATAACCCAACTTACCAAACCTAACGGTCTTATCTTATCTAACCTAAACTAATCATCTTTAGAGTACTTCTTAGCTAGTTTATGGTGAGGGTACAGCATTGTTTCACTTGTTGACACCCAAAAATTTTAAGGATTTTATGTTTGCAATCAGTTGTTTAGACAATTTTAAGACCCTTTTCTTCTATGATATTTCCTTCACAAAGGACTTATATATGCCAGGGAGTCCAAGGTTAGGAGGTCAGGTTAGGTCATTTGCAAGAAAAACTTCAAAGAAAATGTCTTAAAATTGTCTCAACACTTGATTTCAACCATAAAATTTTCAAGATGTTTTGGGTGGCAGCAAGTGAAATTTCACCAGGGTGAGTTGATAATGTTTTATTTTAGCTGTCATAAATTTTCCCATAAAAATCACAGTACAGTATACTGTACTGTACTGTAAATCTAATATGTAGGGTGGAAATTACAACTCCTGTAATATCTAATATACCTAAACTAAGCTAACCTAACCTTACTTACCAAACCTAATCTATGTAAATCTAGGGCTGTGGAGTCGAAGACAAAACCTTCGACTCCGACTCCTCAAATTTTTATGCTTCCGACCCCGACTCCGACTCCGACTCCTTGGCCTATTTGTAACAACTATTTCTACCAT